CAATTGATCAGCTGTCCGCGGTTCCGTTTCACGGGGTTCACGGATCCATTGTTCGAGGACGATTCACTGAGGCGGTCGACGGATGTGCAGACGCGGCAGAGCCTACCCAGGTGCCTCCGCGTTTATCACACGACTGAGCCGGCTCCGGCTACACGTCGTGACTACACGTTGGATAATACTGGATATGACGCCGGCCTATTGGTTAGACGGCGTAGTCAGCGGTGGTCAGCAATTCGAGGTAGACTAAATTAAAAACGGGTACACGGGAGGCGAAACGCGAGAACTCGACGAAACGAAAGATCTTTTGTCAGCGCGCGCGCGGAATTCTGTAAACGAGACGGCGACGCCACTCGTCCGAATAATGATGCCAGTCGAGCAGAGACGTTTCGAGATTTCATATGTGGAACGTCAAGGTGGTCTTTCAACCCTTTCACGCCCGATGTTGCGTATACGTGACACGGCACTTTAGTTAATTACTGAGCTAACCGAATATAACATTTTTTAAGTGAAACAGGTTTAAAATTAACCATTACTATTGGATTGGTGATTTAATGCAGGAGATCGGATATTTTTGATGGAAAATATTGTCTTGTGAATATATATATATATGTTAAACTACAACAGTGGATAGATTTTCTTGCGATTTTGAGCTGAAAAAGAAATCAGAAGTTTTATTTGAAATATAAATCTTAAATCTGTTTAAATATTTTTAAATTATTATTGTATATCTTAATACTTCGATGAAGATTTTATTTATAATTTTTTCTAATATACAATTATTAACAAGTGTAATTTTACCTTACATTCTACTACATACCATGAATTTAAAATAATTGTGATAATGATGCATGATGAATGAGGAGGTAATTTACATCGATAATTAATATATGCGTACGTAATAACTATCGAACAATGAGAGAATAGGGAAAAAATAGTTTGAATATTGTGTCAATGAATATATGGAATGCAAAATTAATATTTGCTCCATCTTGTGTGCATCTTATAGCTAGATAACGTTTCCTTTATAATGTGGCCAAGTCTGGTCTTCATCGTCAACCACTATGGGACATGTCCGTGGTTCTTTGATACGTAACAACGGTTGTGGTTAATGTAGTATATATATAGACAACCACTATTACTCTTCCTTAAAAAGTTCAAACTGGATTATCGATGACCAAAGTTCAAGAGTAGTACGTAGACTCGACTAGGATGAAAGTATCGTTATTCTCGATACTTTCGCATTGTTCGTTTCCGGTCGATCCTGAATTACCAGTCGTGATGCACGAAGCTTCACGCTTTTTCCTCTGGAAATTGAATATAATTATGGAGAAACATTAGTTGCTAATGATTGAATCGCTATGCTTTTTAAAAAAAATCTTAATGTAAATTTTTCTTTTCGAAGAAAAGAATTATTTATTCAATTGTTTATTCAACAATTCTAATTCTTGCAACTCTTGCTCTTCCTAATAGTAATATCCTCTTGATTAATAACTATGTTAGAAACTATGAATCCCAATCTGCATATGCAGTCTTAGAATCGCGGCTCCGTTATTAAAATTTTGCAATTTTATATTTATCTCTCTTCTTCAATTTTCATTACACTAAAAAAATAGAAAACAATTAATAATAATTCATATTTTATAGAATTAAAAAATTTAGTAAAAGCTAGAAACAAAAACTCATTAGTTAAATTAACACAATAATGTATCAAACAATCAAATATACTTTAATAATTCTATTGATCACAATCTAATTCACGAAATGTTATCCAAAAGTTCAAAAAGGTTTCGGTATTTTAGTAATTTTGTTCCTGATCATTCAATCACTGTTTGACGTAATGGTACATACACAGGTGCGCGTCTATTAATAGAGAGTACTTAAATTTAACTTACCGATTAAATGATTGGACAAGTTGATTAATCTCGTGCCAAACAGAATCATTCTGGTAACAGAGTATTGTTGGACAAACAGATAGTCGTTTGGAATTTCTCTGACAAAGTCGAAAATTACATAGGAAATTTCATGGTATTTCTCTTATTCCCTAATCTAAACTTCGCGTGCTGTTGTTCGTTTATTTTGTTCGGAGAAGAAAGAAAGAAACGGCAGAAATCATAATTTTGCGAAAATTAAGGACAATCCTCGTATTGTCGAGGGTCGAAAGGTGGTTTGTGGGTTACTGGAAAGAAATTGACTGATTTATGGTCGCGTGCGAATATCATATCGAATCGATTATCTATTCAAAGAGTTTATAATTTTATGCTCGGTATAGGTGGTTTGAGATGCTACGCTCCAATTCGAAATTCGTATTGTTCGTGTGTAACGAAGTGAGGATGAACATGTGTATAACGGTATTGGAAGAATACGGGAAGAAATTAATTTATTCATTTATCAATGAAAAGTACAGAGGAATACAAATTTATTATTACAAACGATATGTATTTAAATTAATTATTTGCATTTTAACTTTGAATTTTTACTTAAGGAAATTAACTTTCTAATTTGCATGTATATTCCAATGCATAGACTATAAATATAAATTACCTATTTATGCAAATAAATTCTTCCATTCATAAATTAAATAATATTTGTTTAAATTAATCCTCTTATTATATATTTTTTTTTTTTACTTTAAAATACCTTTTTCTTTAATAAGATGAATTTATAAATCATTGTAATAATTTAATTTCATTTTTATTATATTCATATTCATATTCATATTTCTACATCTCACTTCTACTTTTATTCTTGTTCCCAATATTCTCAAATCTCATAAAACCAAATCGGCCAATAAAATATTGAAAATGACACAACCTTCAATCCGAATTGTCCAGTAACACGACTCGAAACATGACGTATGATTTATTAAAGTCGTGAAAACGCGATTCATCCCCCATGACCATGTGATGCATGCGCACACGCCCGTCTATTAATAGAGGGGACGTCGCTCGAATTACTGAAACTGATAAAGCTTGTCGAGAGGTAACTGAGTAATTCAATTCTCCGTGACGAGTTGCAAGTTGCAGTTCCACCGATTCGTCTCCCTTCAACGTCGGTTTTTCACCTTGATACGCAACCCAACCTAGAATTAATTGCTTCCATGGAAATGGGGTGCGCCGGATACCATGTGCATTATGCTCTATTTGTTTGCGGTTTACTAATCTACGTTTCGATCGTCTAATTCTCACGGATTCCGATGCTATCGATGAAGTTTGGCGTGTTTTCTAATGTGAAAGTTCTGTGAAAGTTTGTGAAAAGTGTGCTGGTCCTTGAGGCTGTTTTTGTAGAATTTATATTTTTAAATGTCAATACTTATGAATAGAGATTTTTACTGAAATAATTCTTAAATATAATATTTAATTTTTAAATGAATTTTTGTTATAAATAAAAGGAATATATTGATATATGAATGAATTCTTTGATATTTATTATAATTTTTATTTATCTTTATTATAGTACTTACGATAAAAATAACTAAAGAAAATCGTTGATAAAATTCTTCGAACGTATCGCTTTAAGCTTAGACTTTTCGATCTTTGGCTTCTCAACAGCCTTCGACGTCATCAAATTCTTTTTATCTGCTTAGTAAGATTCTCTCTCTGCTCGCTCTTTTACGCGCATCAAAGCTGCTAAATATACTCTAGCTATCATCGAGTTTTTACCACGAAAAAAGATCCCCTTCATTCCTCACAATCAGACAGATTAAATAACCATATAATTAATTTATAGATTTTTCAACATAACATCAAAATAATAGGAAATTGTGACAAAATATAAACATCACAATCACTATAATAAACATTTATTCTTGATAATATAAAATTACATGTTTGCAGTTAACATGAGACACATATCATACAATATTTCACAATAACAAATATGCGTATTCGATGCGATACGATGGTTGCGCAAAGACGACTTATTATCATTAATCCGTGAGGGAAATGAAAGTCATCGTCATCGAATCTTGAACGCATCTAACTTTTATTTTTTTCATTAATTCGATAGAAAAAAAAAAAAAAAAGGGAAAGAAAAGAACACAAAACTCGAGCTTTGTAATTTGCATCTCGTTATGCAGCTACAGTTAATGATTGTACTACCGTAATAATCAACTAGAATCTAAACGATCGCTCTTGAAATATAGAGATGTTATTTAATTTGATTGAAATCATCTACTGATTTGTAAATATTTAGACGAACAAAGACGAACAAAGACGAATAAAGACAATAAAAAAAGAACAAAAAAAAAAAAATTAAAGAAAAGACACAAATATAGCAAGGGAATTAGAAATGTGAGGAAAAGAAAAAGGATTCGTTATTATAGCCGTCACATCAGAGGAATTTTTCTCATAAATAGCACGGGATAACTATATTACAAAAATATACATGTGAATCGTTCGTCGATATTTCACAGAGCTTATGGAAATTCGACGTTATTTTTCATCAATGGTCGATAGAAACAACTGTTTTCTTGCGATTTTTCATTTCATTGAATTTTTCCTATCATTATGCTAATTACATAAATACACGTTTATTTACACATTGCTCTCTGTACGTTCTACGGTTAGTCGATTGAAAGTATATCGTTACTTGAGAAAAATATCTTGATTTTTAAATTAAAGCGCACGAAGGAATAATCTTATGCAAAATAAGGACTAATATGTCCATTCTCGGTTGTACCATTTGTCAGTTTTATATACAGAAAAGAGGGGGATTTAGTGTCACGATCGCGTGTCACCGGTAGCTAATTGGTCAACTATAACTTATAAAATATAGCCGAGAGATGCTATATTCAAGTTAGTCAATGTGGTCCCATTAGCCACTTCCCCATTTTGGTTTCACACGCAACTGAACTTGACACCTGAAACATTATAATTTTAATTGTTAGATTGGAATTAAAAGATAACAAAATAATGTAGATAAAATTATTAAGAAAAATTTCATTGAATTTATCTTTCTTTTTTCTTAATTTTAAAATGTATAATCTATAAAATTATAATTTTTTTTCTATTTTTTTTACCAATATTGATCTGAAAAACAATTAAACACTTAAACAAATTTATAAAAAATGGAAAATTGTCGAGAAATTATTGACGTTTACCTAATTATAATCATACGTATAAATAGTGAAAGCTAAATGCGGATACCGTCGTCACTGGAGTAGCAGTTATGGCAGTGTAATTTTTGATTTCTAACGCGTACGTCTGTTCCCATTAATCCATCACCAAGTCGAACGTGACACACGCAGCATTTGAAACATTCCATATGATAGAAT